GTAAAAGAAAGGAATCTTTTCGATCGAGTCTAAATAATATTATAATGACGGTAATATCTGCAAAACTTCAAATACCATATATGGGTGATCCGTAATCAAAGGGTTAAAAGATATTGAATTTTTGGTGTTTGTAGTGATGAGTTAGATTAAATATGGTGAGTTGCTTCTGCTTTTAAAGTTACAAAATAAAAACAATACATCTATAGTCCTCATAGTCGGACTTTTCTTTAGAAGATTTTTCTAAAAAAGCGTCCGAAATAAATGATCATGTAGATTTCGCTCGTAGAGCTTTCAATAGTGAACGTTCATATAAAGTTTGGTTTCATGTCTAAAAAACAACTAATCTTCTCTTCTTTAAGTAGTATGCTTGAAAAGCATTTAGGAAATCATTTAACAGATAGAAATGACATTTTATTTCAACGGAATGCTGACAAGATTTTGCTTTTGTAACATCGAGTAATTTAGGTACTACAAACAAGCAATATATTCGCATTTCGAAAAGAATATACCAATTGTTTCTCCAAGAAAATCTCTACACTTTTGCATTAGTAGCAAACTTTCAAATTGCATCTAAATTGAGAAAAAAGTCTACTACAAGCGGGCAATTTCTGCTACTACATTCATTATTTTTTATTAAAATTATTTTGTTGAAGGTATCCGTTATGGACATTTTACGATGTAAATTAGAAACCAGTGTTATGCCTGATGCTCTGGTCATGAGAACCATTTCCGACGTTATTGATTCACCACCAAAATTCAATGCTGATTATAAGAACAAGTTTATGCCGACTGATGCTATTGGATTGGAAGTGTTATTGCTTGCATCCTCACTTTTAACAAATCAAACGTATATATTTGATACTTCGGGTAGTCGTTCAGCTGATGAGCTCCTGCAAGGTTGGCAAGATATGTGTGTAGCATCAGGTATGTTCTAGCAGATCAAATAATTTATTATCAGCACTGGTATACTAAAGAAACGATTAGTGTTTTTTATGTATCAGTAAGTTATGCGTAAGATCATTAGTAAAGAAATTTATTATATTTGTAGCACGTGCAATATTCAAACATTTATTAATGAAGCGATTGAAGATCTTCGAGAGGTTGCAATAAACTATAAGTTGGTGTATTATGATGATAGAAATGTTTCATGTATTCGATATAGATGGATACAATTGTTCAAAACGTATTGCACATTTAAGAAAGATTGATCCAGATATTTTAACTAATCCGTATGTGAAGTCAACATATCGTCTTTGAAGAATTTTTTCACCTTTTTAGAAATGCTGGCGGTTCTCAACATCGTGATCGTAGTCAATCGGCAAAAAGATGAAAAATGGAAAACATTTGTTTTGTGAAAAAAAATCTTTTTTTTTTATTTTAAAAATAAAGATGTTAAATTACATCATAATCAAATATTAAGATCAATAAGATTTAACTGAACAAGTTAACATATTTGCAAATATGTATAAATAGCTGAAGAAATTTTTTTAAAGTTTAGTGAATACTTTGCAAATAGTTTAAAATTAATAGAAGGTATTAAGTATTATTAATTTTCATAGATGAAACAATAACTTATTGAAAGAAAACTTGACTTTAGTCACGTTGCTAACTTAATGAAAAGTAAAACACTGCTTTCTTAATACAGAATTAGCAACTTTTCATACTTAATGTATGTTTATTATCGAGAAAAAAAAAGTTGAAATAGACATATCTATTGTTTTGTTTAATATGTTAATGCAAATGTTAATCATTTTTGTATGTAAATAATTGACACGTTTGTTTTGTACAAAGCAATAATTCTTAATTGAAAACTTGGGTGTGGGTGTGGGTGTGTGGTGTGGGTGTGGGTGTGGGTGTGTGGTGTGGGTGTGGGTGTGGGTGTGTGGTGTGGGTGTGGGTGGGTGTGGATGTGGGTGTGGATGTGGGTGTGGGTATGGGAGTGGGTGTGTGGGGATGGAGGTGTGGGGGTGGGGGTGTGGGTGGGTGTGGGTGTGTGGGCGGGTGTGGGTGTGTGGGTATGGGTGTGGGTGGGATGTGGGATGTGGATATCGGTGTGAGTGTGCGTATGGGATGTGAGAGGGGTGTAAGTGTGCGATATAGGCATGGGTGAGGGTGTGAGATATAGATGGAGGCGTGTGTGAGTGTGTAGATGTAGATGCGGGTGTGTGGGTATGAGTGTGCGTATGGAATATGAGAAGGGTGTTAGTGTGTGGCGTGGGCATGGGTAAATTTGTGCGAGTGTGGGTGTGGGTGCAGACTTCCTTTCTATGACACCCACATCCACATCCACACTCTCTGCCGTAATCTGTTAGCCCATTTTACGATGTATCCTATCGTTTTTATGCCACTTACGGCTGTTTACGGCGCCGTTTTCTTAGACATGAGTAATCCATTCGACTTCAATTAAATTTTCATAATGAGTATTCTCTAATATTGCTTCCGTATCAATTTTTAAATAAAATCCATTGTTAAATTTGTAGCTGCACCATATTTAAACATTGGTACTTTGTTTTTCTACGTTTACTTAATGATTTTACGAATAAAATATCCACGTTTATTGGGTCACATGACTCTTCATCTGATTGTTCACATGGTTCTTGACTGTTCGATTCATTCGACGATAAAGATTCAAATGA